TTTTTTGTTTTCTGGTTTCGTAATGGTTGGAGTTTTTGTTGCATGTGTGGTCTCTTCTGTTTTTTTAAATTGCTGATTGTTTTTTGGTCGGAGCTGATATGGTGCCTTTTTATGGTTACTCGAGACAATTTGGAAGTGTCGCCCCGCACAGACCTTGTCATGGTGGGTAATAGGGTCTCTTAGGGGGTTGGCACAGACTGAGGGAGTGGTTAACCCTAAATCGCGAGGAGGTGGGTGGGTTTGCGGAGGCTTTTGACCCTTGCCGAGCGGGTGGTAGGATTTTCCCACAGGGGTGAAGTTGTTGGATTGGTTTTGTCTTTTTTTATGTCGTTGGGATTTTCTTCAGAAGTCCTGTTATATTGAGTGGGATTGGAGAGTGTCACTCCGCGGGTGTTTCATCATGGAGGGCGGTGAAGATCCCATTGCGAGGCGAAATGCAGATGAGAGGAGTGGTGTACCCTAAATCGCGAGGAGGTGGGTGGGTTCTGCGGGGTCCTTGGCCCCTGCCGCACGGGTGGCAGGGTATTTCCTCAGGTTAGCGAAATTGCCATCATGGTGGGAGTTGGTGGTTTTGGTAGGTGAATGTCGGTGGTGGTTTGATCCGCTCTAAATCGCGAGGAGGTGGGTGGGTCTTTGCGGGGTCTGAGTCTGTAGTTGGGGGGCCGATGACCCAGATCCCTGTCGCGCGGGAGGTAGGGCGGACACGCAGGGTTTGGTGTTTAACAGAGGATGGTCGATTTTGTTACTGGCCTTGTGTACTTAGGGTTTTCGCATACTTTTTTTCTTATGTTGTTTTGTTGAGCCTATTTTATGATGTGAGAGATGCCGGACCCGTTTTTCGACTTTTATATTCAAAGCAGCCATCGTATGAATCAGGCCGGAGTGCCTGGATCATACGATATTTGGCTGCCAGTGTTCTGGTTAAAAAAAAAAAAAAATCTGACCAAATCGCTGAAAAGAAAAAGCGGTGTCACTCTATTTTGTCACACCAGCAAAATATTTCAATTTTAATTAAACGGGGGGCGCAGCGCTACCGGTAGCGCTGCGCCCTGCCCGACGCTACGTACTCAAGGCGACGGCGCACGGCGGTGATGGTGGCCCTTCTTTTTGAAGCCCTGGCGCTTAGTGCACGCGTAGGAGACCACAAACGCTTCACCACACCATGTCACAAGATGATGTGGCAGATGGTCCCGGTGGCGTTCAGTTTCTGGGAGTTCCACGTTTCACTCCATTGCCGCAGCGTTGTTGCACGTGGCATTTGGCCTGAGAGGCGTTGGCTATGTCGATGTCTGTGGAGCACAGTGGAGTTAGCCCTAGGTACCCCGAAGTGTGAGGGATTTCAGTAACGGTCTGCCATTGTGGTACTGCTTGCCATCATCCTTGCCATCACCATCACTACCAGGTCGCAATTCGACATCACCCCACTGCTTCCTATCAGGGGTATTGCTCGACATTAGGGTGGTGTCCATCTTCAGGGGCATAACTTGGAGGTGTCATCAAGTATAATCAAGGCACAATTATCGCCATCACAATGAGGCTATCAGGGACGCTGTTCGTTATCAAGCTGATGCTTGTCATCATCATCATCATCAATGTTTGCTAGCATCATCATGACGTTAGTTGTCATCATTAGGATATTATCTCTTATCATCACTTGAGGAAAGGGTGTGATTAATCTTTTTTTTCATTGCCATTAGGTCATAATTGCTCATCATTCTAATCATCATTACAGTCCGTGTGGACTTTGTCATTATCAGCGTCATCATCATAGTGTTGCTCGTCATTACCACCATCTGTGGCATCACCATCATCATCATGATCAATCTCATCACCATCATCCTTATAAAATAATTCCCTTAACTGCACTCCTTATTAGTGGGATGTCACCGATATCATCTGCAGGCGGGTCTGCTCGCCAGTATCATCCTTAAAATATCCAATCTTAGGGTATTGTTCTCGGTCACCCATCCAATCATAAGTCCTCAATACCATCATCGTCATTACCACCATCTGTCGCAGTATCATCGATATCATTATACCGGTATCATCTGTAGGTGAGTTCGCTCGCCAATACTCTCCTTATAACCCTTTGTCTTAGGACACAGTTCTTGTCAGCAATTAGTATTTTCTTTTCCTACATTTTCATCATGATTTTCCTTTTTTCATGTTCACTCGCTTGAGTGTTTCCATCCTGGGATCTCCATCACAAAATCTTACTCAACTATACACTGCCCTCATGAGATTTTTCTCTAGGTCAATTGGTCGCTTCATCTGTTGGGTGTGCTTAAGTCGGGATAGGGCTTCTGTGTCCACGGTTTGGATTCTTGGGGGAAGGGTGGGGGTTGGTATTGGGGAGCCTTACTTTACAGGGGCGCTGCAAGGTGGGAGGTGGCTGCCCTGTCCGGGGTGGGGCAGATTTGTGGTTTATCCTTGTCTGGGGCCGGGGTGGGAGAGTTGGTTGCCTTCAACCCCGGCGGGGGCAGATAGGGATAAGGGGAGGACGAAGGTATCCTCTAGGAGGGAATTGGATGCCTTTGCGGATGGGGGGGAAGGAGGGGGTCTGTTCCAGGTTGGGGCCGAGGTGTTTTTCCTCGGCGGTGGCAGCATGGAACAGGGTTTGCGGGCAGGGGGAAGTTTAGCATCTGGTCTTCTTCTTCATTATGATATTCGATTTCAGAGATGGTTGCACCTGGACTGACATCGACATCATTGCTCTGTTTTGTGCCCTCAGTTTGCCGATGCCAGAACGACGCTGGCCAGAGATGGGGTGTTACCCTGTAACCTGCAACGGGAGAAGTGTGAGGCCTTGTAGAGAGATCTGGGGTTTGCAAAGGGAGGAAGGTTTGCCAGTGGCGAATTGTGGGGGACCGCCTTGACACCCTATGGGGTCGGGGATAGTCTTGGTGGCGAGAGGAGGTCAGCTATGGATGATGTTGATCTGCTCAGTACTGTCTTTGAGTAGTAATGTCCCGGTATAGGGAGGGCTAGGAGTTGCTCTATATTTAGGAAATTGGAATGGCTGATATAACATAGTATTCAATTTTCTAGTTCTTTATCAAAAGAGATTCTTAGCCGAAGTCGGGTAATGCCCCCGACACCTCATATGTTGTGTAATTATTCATGTGGGACGCTGGACCCGGTTTCCAGCACGTGCTGCTCCCAGCGAATAGATTGAAGCAAATTGTCAAAAAAAAAAAAAAAAAAAAAAAAAAAAAAAACAGCAGTACTCTCCCATATGTGGGCCGTGGGCACTTCGCTTTCGTATGTGAGGGAACTACGCATTTCGCTTTCGTATGGGAGGGAACTCTGCATTTCGCTTTCGTATGGGAGGGCACTCTGCATTTCGCTTTCGTATGGGAGGGAACTACGCATGAAGGGGTTCCCAAAGAGACTTTTTCTCAAGGCCACGGATGATTTTTCAAAACAAAATGGGAATTGCTGGAGGGGATGGATTCGAATCCTAGGGGAAGGGTTGATGAGGACAGATACTGAGAGGAACAAACGTTGCCGTTTTCGAGGGTTTTCTGAAGGCTTGCAAAAACAGCCCTGGCCGAGCCAACTGTGGAAAAGGTCACGCGCGACACAGCAGGCCTGTCTTTGAATGAATCTGGGTTTTCAGCTACCGGACAAGATCAAGATCTATGATACTGAGATCTATTGGGACAGTTGGATATTGACCACCACCATCTCCCCGTCATAGATGCTGGCTGCGCTATGACCTGCATTTCTGTCCCGCGACCCCCAACGCTTACCGATCCTTCATATCGTCTTCAGATATCTGCTTCTGCTTTCTTACCTGGCGCGCTCAACCCTGCATCTTCAGGAGTTGTCTCTTTCTCTTCAGATGATGGTACCCCTCTGACCTGTGTAAGTTTTCCACGGTGTCATGCACTCCCATGCTCTTTTCTACGACCACGTTTTTTAAACTATTTTCTCTCCCTTTCGTCTGTGCATGTTTTCTTCCCCGTTCCCCCTCTTTTCTCTCTCTCTCTCTCTCTCTCTCTCTCTCTCTCTCTCTCTCTCTCTGTTGTTTCCCTCTCTTCTTTCCCGCTCTCTGCTTGATGTATCTGATGGGCCGGAGTGCCCAGCCCCACTGAGAGGCACGGAAGTACGTGCGATCGATCTACTATTTAGGACATGGGTGACTCACTTTCGAAGTAGCACATTTCTTTATTCCCCTGATGATGGCTATGATGGCTATGATGGCGCACAGCCGAAACATGTCGGGATAAACGCCGCTCCGCTTCTGTGTATAACTCTTTTTTATAAACGAAGCATTTTTTGCGCTACTTCCGTGTGTACTCTCCTCTTGTCATGTTCCTACTTCTTTCTCACTCTCGATATCTCTCTTTCATACTCTCTCTATATCGTTCTCTCCCTCTCTCTCTCTCTCTCTCCTCTCTCCCTCTCTCTCTCTCTCTCTCTCTCTCTCTCTCTCTCTCTCTCTCTCTCTCTCTCTCTCTCTTTTTTTCTCTCTCTCTCTCAGTCGTGAGTGTTTGCGTCAGATGAAGCGTTTTTTTCGTCAAACATATGGAGTTCTGAGTCATCATGCGTGCTGCTTAGCTGCTCACGACTCTATTCTACTCACGGAGGAGCGGATTAACCGCTGTGCTATTCACGGTGTGGTGTTTCCGCTAGATCATCATCTTTTCGGATGACTGGACTACAACGCTCATCGTTCTCCCGGATACTCTGACTATCTCTGCTGCTTCTCTGATTCTTCTTCCCTTTTCGCTATTGCTTTTCT